AAAATAAAAACCCCAGCGGTGATTAAATACCACCAAAAGAAAGCTCTAGTTGTGTGAAGAAAATGATAAAATTTTAGTTTGGGTACAGTGTTGTATGACCGCGCAATTGTCATTCAAAGTGTGAGAGCGCTGAAACCTAAAAAATGGCCTGGGCAGGAAGGTGTAAAATTGCACGGTATTGAAACGGTTAATGTTGCTGTAGGCCTCTTGGCAGCCTCCCAGACCAGTTTTCTTCTCGTCTTTTCATCAATTTTGGAGGAACGTCCAGTTCTTGGTAATGTCACTGTTGCACCATATTTTATCCACTTGATGTTGACTGTCTTCACAGTGTTCCATGGTATCTAATGCCTCTGGAATTCTTTTGTACCCTTCTCCTGATGGATACCTTTCAACAATAAGACCCCTCTGATGCTTTAGAAGCTCTCTGCGGACTATGGCTTTTGCTGTAGGACGCGACTAAGAAAATGTCAGGAAAGACCTACTAGAACATCTGAACTTTATTTGGTGTTAATCAGAGGCACTTTAAAATGATGGCAGGTGTGTACTGACTCCTATTTAAAATGATTTTGAATGTGATTGCTTAATTTTGAACACAGCTACATCCCCAGTTATAAGAGGGTGTGCACACTTATGCAACCACATTATTTTAGTTTTTTATGTTTACTTCCCCCCTAAAAGATTTCAGTTTGTTTTTCAATTGCGTTGTACAGTTTATAGGTCACATTAACCTCCCTGGCGGTTTTCCCGAGTGTAGCTCGGGGTAAAATTTCTATACCACAAGCGGTAACCCCGAGCTACACTCGGGCTAACCATGCGACGCTGCTCTGGGGGTCCCTGCAGCACTTACCTTGTCCTTCGTTCCCACGATGTGTCCCCTGCAGCTCCCCGGCCGATCCCGGCATCCGGCTTCTGTGTTCCGGTCCCCGTGACGTCGGGACGTACGGGCGCCGGCGGTGGCGGGAAATTTAAAAAATTTAAAAAATGTCATTTTTTTTTTTTTCAATTTTAAATAGTAAAACATTGCTGTTTCATCCCATTTCACATACATTTTGTCCCTAGTGCTTTGTCCTGTGCCCTGCCTGCATTTTGTCTGTTCTTTATGCCTGGAAACTTAGAAAAGTCCATGGCTTCCAAAAAGCGTCCCTTTACGTCAAAAGCGGTTTTAGACCGGCTAGAGAACAGCGATAGTAAATCAGAACCACTTACAGAATTGAGTGATAATAATTTGTGGGGAAATTTTCCTAAAAATTACAGCCTACAATAAAAAACTATTTCCATGCGAAAAAATGGTACCGCTTTCAGCACACAAAAATCGGAAGGAATCATACCGCTAGGGAGGTTAAAAGCTGGAAAAAGTTCTGAAATTATTTATCTTTGTCTCATTTGTTTTTACATCACAGAAACTTGACACTTAACAGGGGCGTGTAGACTTTTTATATCCACTGTAAGTGCCGGTTCACATATATGCGGATTGGATGCAGTGTGAATTGCACATTATTTTAGTTTGTTTACTCAACCACCCCCCCCCCCCACCTAAAAGATTACAGTTTGCTTTTCAATTGAGTTGTACAATTTATAGGTCACATTAAAGGTGGAAAAAGCTCTGCAATGATTCATCTTAGTCTCATTTTTTTTTTACATCACAGAAACCTGTAATTTTAAACGGGTGTGTAGACATTTTAGAATATATATATATATATATATATATATATATATATATATATATATATATATATGTTTATTATTAGGAATGCACCAAAAATAGCCATATTGGCACTTTGCTGATAGGAACATTTTAGCTGATACAGGGGGCTGTGTGTATTACAGATGTGGGGGGGGGGGCGGAGAAAGGCAGGAGAGGAGCAGTATATACAGCAAGCTACCTCTAAATGTCACTGCTGGTATCCTGCCCTATAGCTCCAGTAAAGAGCGGTCATTCTCCTTGCCGCTGAAAAGCAAACTAAGAAACTAAGGGACAGAGGTCATCCAGGGACATTACCCAGTGACCCCACCCCTTAGCTTCCTTTAGCTGCAGGGAGAATGGAGCTATAGTGAAGGGGGGAAAAAAAAGCCGGTAATTACATTAAAAAACCAGCAGTGACATATAGGTGCAGCCAGTGAGCCTGAGTGTATACGCTGCTCCCTCACTGTATACTCTGCTCCCCTCCTACCCCCCCCCCCCCCAAAGGGGTCCTGTCACTCATTTTCTATCACAGAACTATTGGTCCCCTATGTGATATGAATGAAGTCATAAGTTAAAGAAAAATTAAACATTTCAGTTTAAAAAAAAAAAAAAAATTGAGCCGCCCAACCCACGCAAGCGTGGGTTTTCGGCCGTGTGGATTCTGTATTTTCAGCACCAGAATTTTCATTTCGGTGAACCACTAAATATCCCATCACAAAGGTGCTCTGTTGGATTGAGATCTGGTGATTGGAGGACATTGGAATACAGTGAACTCATTGTCATGCTCAAGAAAAAAGTTTGAGATGTTTTGAGCTTTGTGACATGAAGCATTATCCTGCTGGAAGTAACCCTCAGAAGATGGGCACACTGTAGTTCTAAAGGGACAGACATGGTCAGCAACAATACTCAGGTAGACTATGGCATTTAAACAATGCTCATTTGGTAGTAAGGGGCCCAAAGTGTGCCAAGAAAATATCCCCCACAACATTACACCACCAGCTGCCTGAACCGTTGATATAAGACAGGATGAATCCATGCTTTCATGTTTACACCAAAATTTGACCCTGCCATTTGAATGTCGCAGCTGAAATTGAGACTCCTCAGACCAGACAACGTTTTTCGAATCTTCTGTTGTCCAATTTTGGTGAGCCTGTGTGAATTGTAGCTTCCCTTAGCTGTTCTTAGCTGAAAGAAGTGGCATCAGGTGTGGTCTTCTGCTGCTGTAGCCCATCTGCTTCAAGGTTTGACGTGTTATGCATTCAGAGATGGTATTCTGCATACTTTGGTTGTAACGTTTGGTTACTGTTGCCTCTATCATCTTGAACCAGTCTGCCCATTCTCCTCTGACATCAACAAGGCATTTTTGTCCATGTTTTTGCTTTTTTTGGACCACTCTCTGTAAACCCTAAAGATAATTGTGTGTGAAAATCCCAGCAGATCAGCAGTTTTTGAAATACTCAGACCAGCCCGTCTGGCACCAACAACCATGCCACGTTCAAAGTCACTTAAATCCCCTTTCTTCCCCATTCTGCTCAGTTTGAACTTCAGCAAGTTGTCTTCACTACATCTAGATGCATAAATGCATCTGACTGGCTTATTAGTAATTTGTGTTACCAAGCAATTGAACAGGTGTGCCTAATAAAGAGGGGTGTGTGTGCGTGCGGATACATCCGATCTCAATGGGGAAATATATCATGCTGGATATCTATACTGATATGGACTGGGTAACGTGTTAGAAACGTAAGGATGCCCATCATTTAATGGAAATGAAAATCATCAACCTACAGAGGACTGAATTCAAAGACACCCCAAAAAGCAAAGTTAAAATATAAAAAAAAAAAAAAAAAAAAAGGATGCAGCAGGCTAGTCCATTTTGGTGAAATTTCATTGCAGCAACTCAAAATGGTTTGCATGGCCCCCATATGCTTGTATGCATTCCTGGCAATGTCAGGGCACGCTCCTAATGAGACGACGGATGGTGTCCTGTGGTATTTCCTCCCAGATCTGTACCAGGGCATCACTGAGCTCCTGGACAGTCTGAGGTGCAACCTGATGGCGTCAGATGGACCGAAACATGATATCCCAGAGGTGTTCTATTGGATTTAGGTCAGGCAAGCATGGGGGTTATTCAATTCCTTCATCCTCCAGGAACTGCCTGCATACTCTCACCATGTGAGGCCGGGCATTGTTGTGCACCAGGAGGAACCCAGGACCCACTGCATCAGCACAGGGTCTGACAATGGGTCCAAGAATTTCATCTCGATACCCTCCATGGATATGCCTCCCCAGACCATCACTGACCCACCACCAAAACGGTCATGCTGAACGATGTAACAGGCAGCCTGTTCTCCACGGCTTCTCCAGACCCTTTCAAGTCTGTAACGGGCTCAGGGTGAACCTGCTGTCATCTATGAAAAGCACAGGGCACCAGTGGTGGACCTGCCAATTCTGGTGTTCAATGGCAAATGCCAATCGAGCTATATAGTGCCAGGCAGTGAGCACAGGGCCCACTAGAGGACGTCGGGCCCTCAGGCCACCCTCATGAAGCCTGTTTCTAATTGTTTGGTCAGAGACATTCACACCACTGGCCTGCTGGAGATCATTTTGTAGGGCTCTTGCAGTGCTCATGCCCTGTTTTTCTTTGCACAAAGGAGCAGATACCGGTCCTGCTGATGAGTTAAGGACCTTCTATGGCCCTGTCCAGCTCTCCTAGAGTAACTGCCTGTCTCCTGGAATCTCCTTCATGCTCTTGAGACTGTGCTGGGAGACACAGAAAACCTTTTGGCAATGGCATGTATTGATGTGTCATCCTGGAGGAGTTGGACTGCCTGTGCAACCTGTGCAGGGTCCAGGTATTGCCTCATGCTACCAGTAGTGACACTGACCATAGCCAAATGGAAAACTAGTAAAAAACAGTCAGAAAATATGAGCAGGGGAAAAAAAAAAAAAGAAAAAACTCTTTTGGCAAAATGTTTGGATTGTGAAAAAAAGTCAGTGGCCTCCATCTGTAAAACCATTCCTGTTTTGGGGGTCGTCTCATCGTTGCCCAGCAACATCTAGTGCACATGTTAATTTCATTAGTACAAAAGCAGCTGAAACTGATTAACAATCCCCTCTGCTACTTAACTGACCAGATCAATATCCCAGGAGTTTAATTGACTTGATGCTATAATCTGATTAAAAAATGCTCTCTTTAATTTTTGTTTTTGAGCAGTATATATATTGCCAAAAGTATTGGGATACCCCTGGAAATCATTGCATTCAGGTTTTGCAATCACCTCCATGGCCACAGGTGTATAAAATCAAGCACCTAGGCATGCAGACTGCTTCTACAAACATTTGTGAGAGAATGGGTTTCTCTCAGGAGCTGAATGAATTCAACCGTGGTACCGTGATAGGTAGCCACTTGTGCAATAAGTCCATCTGTGAAATTTCCTGGCTACTAAATATTCCACGGTCAACTGTTAGTGGTATTCTAACAAAGTTGGAAGCAACTGGGAACAACAGCAACTTAGCCACGAAGTGGTAGGCCATGTAAGATGACAGAGCGGGGGTCAACGTATGCTGAAGCACACAGTGCGCAGAAGTCGCCAACTGTCTGCAGAGTCAGAAGCTGAAAACCTCCAAGCTTCATGTGGCCTTCAGTTTAGCACAACAGTGCATAGAGAGCTTCATGGAATGGGTTTCCATGGCCGAGCAGCTGCATCCAAGCCTTACATCACTAAGTGCAGTGCAAAGCGTCAGATGCAGTGGTGTAAAGCACGCTGCCATTGGAGTCTAGAACAGTGGAGATGTGTTCTCTGGAGTGATGAATCGTGATTTTCTGTCTGGCAATCCGATGGACATATCTGGGTTTGGCGGTTGCCAGGAGAATGATACTTGTCTGACTGCATTGTGCCAAGTGTAAAGTTTGATGGGGGGGGTGGGGGGGGGGGGGGGGGGAAATTATGGTGTGGTGTTGTTTTTTAGAGGTTGGGCTTGGCCCCTTAGTTCCAGTAAAGGGAACTCTTAAGGCCTCAGCATACCAAGACATCGTTGAACAATTTCATGCTCCCAACTTTGTGGGAACAGTTTAGGGATGACCCCTTTCTGCTCCAACATGACTGCACACCAGTGCTCAAAGCAAGGTCCATAAAAACCATGAATGAGAGAGTTTGAGGTGGGGGAACTTGGCTCACCTCAACCCTATAGAACACCTTTGGGATGAATTAGAGCGGAGACTGTGAGCCAGGCCTTCTCATCCGACATCAGTGCTTAACCTTACAAATGCGCTTCTGGAAGAATGGTCAAACATTCCCATAGACACACTCCTAAACCTTGTGAACAGTTTTCCCAGAGGAGCAGAAGAGTTGGAGCTGTTTATATTTGCAAATTGTGGGTTAACTTCATATTGAACTCTACGGACTAACACTGGGATGCCATTAAAGTACATGTGTGTAAAGACAGGTGTCCTGATACTTTTGGAAGTATTGTGTGTGTGTATAATATATATATTATTATATTCTTATTAGTATAGAGGATTCAAAATGTTGTTTTCCCTAATCTTCTCTTATGAGGAAGATTTCCCTTCACTTCCTGTCCTGTAGACTCAACAGCATGTGACTGGATTTTTCCTTACATTGGAAAGATATTCTCTCGCATGTCCCCATTGAAGATTTACCCCCTACTCCTGTTTTGGGGCACCTCCAAATTTAGACTAAGTTTGGACGATGGTCTCACCAGGCCATTGAGAAATAGTGGCACAAGAAGCCAATTAACCCTTATGGGTCTCTTCAGAATTACAAAAAAGGAATCCATTTTTATCACAGAAGCATTGGCTGAGAAATAAATTAACCACATCCATAAAATTGAATGAATTTTCCTTGGGGTGAACTGGTGCCAGACAGAGATGGACGAATGATCTCCTGGTTGAGATGAAAGGTAGAGGCTACCTTGGATAACAAGCAAGTCCTAGTTCTCAATACCACCTTATCCCTAGGAAATTTAAATAAATAAATATTTCTTTCCTGCATAAGGTCACTAGTTTATCTTGCAGACGTGATGGCTTCAAGGAAGGCCACCTTGAGGGTAAGAGTAACAATTTTTCTGGGGGGTATATATTGCAGTTTTTGAAGTGCAGAGAGAACCAGATGCAAATCTTGTAAAGTCACAGGAGAACAAACGGGGAGCTACATAAGAGACTCCCTGTAGAAAGGTCTTGAGGAATCGGAGGCCAATAACCTTTGAAACAAGATAAGAGCAGAAACCTGATCTTTGTTAAGGCTGAGAACCAAAGACTGGCCCAGGCGTAGCTATAGGAAGGAGATTTGTTCCACAGAGAATTTAAGGTGGAAGCTCCAAGAGGATTGGGTATACCTTACATGGTGCAAGTCCCCTGCACTAACCATGTGCCCAGAACACCTTCCCAACCAAACCAGACTGACCTCATGAGGACCTTGCAGAAGATGGGAAGCACTTTCTTAGAGCCATATTTGAGCCACCAAACCAGGTACAGCCTGGGCCTCAGTGCCAAATGAATCTGTCTATAGACTGAACTGAACTTGTCACATGATGACCGAATTTTGTGTTGTAGAGATCCGGAAAACTGAGCAAACGGGACTGCATTGAAGTTGTCTACCATCATTGCTTCTCAACTTCAAAAGTATAAACCAGGGATCAGAGAGTTTTAAGTTTCTCCTGAGGGAGAAATAATCTGGCCTGTTACAGCAGCACTTTCTGAAGGTTCAGGATCCATCCATTGTAATGTCTTGACGGTCGAGGCCATTGTCCAACAGAGCATGAACAGACTGTTCCCTCAACAGGACATTGTCCAAGTATCCTACAGTGGGAATGACATGAGAGTGTAGCAAGGCTAGAACTGATTCAGCACCTTGGTGAACTCCTGAGATGCAGACATGATGCCAAATGGTAGGGCTATGAACTGAAAGTGCAAGGGACCCACAACAAAGTACAGAAAGTGCTGATGTGCTGAAAAGATGGGGACATGCAGGTACACATTCTTGATGTCCACAGAAGCCAAAATGTCTCTCCGGTGAAGGAGTGTGATTACAGATCTGGTGGATGCCATGATCAGAATATAAGCCTGAATCAAGACCTTCAGTGCTCTGATATCCAACATGGGGCTGGAGTTTCTGCACCCAAGCAAGCAGAGCAAGTGTCCACAAAAGTGAACGAGCATTCACTCCCTTTGGAAAGTGGGGACATAATCTTAATGCAGAGGAATGTTGTTGTGGTGGATTGTGTGTGTGTTTTATTTTTTGGGTTTTTTTTTCTCCCCTAAAAGTCTGCATACTCCCAAGACCTGGTGGACTGAGGGCCAAGCTTGGAGTGGTCTGGATGTGGATGTTGGCAGGAGTGATGAAAACAAAACAAAAAAGTCTTCTTGAGTAAGAGAAGAACCTTCTAAGTCTGTCTCTTTGCCTTCGTCTGACATGCTTGCCACAAGTGGTAATTGCACCAAGAGTTGGTCCAAGGAGACATTTTCTCTAAGGTCAAGTGGATCAAAACACTTTAGCACTCATAGATGACCCTTCGCCCAGTAGTGAGAACTGGTTGGAAACAGGGAATTGTTAAAGGTGACCTACGTGAATGAGGTCACACCTGATGTCTAAAGAGTGAGTTCTCACAAACAGGGCAAGCACTGAGGCATTGAATGGCTCTTAACCTGAAAAACTGCTCCGCAGCATACTTTTACCTGAACAGGGTCTGCAAAGTGCCATTAGAAAAACCTACTGGCCAAATGTTTGTGTATATACAGTTCAGTGAGTTCCAGATATGTCTGTCCAAAGGCAGGCTGAGGACACTTGAGCTGGATAGCTGCAATCTAAGAAACACGTTCTAGCAGAGATTGTAGAGAAGACCCTTATTTGGGGGAAAAAAAAATATATAGCTTGGTCTTTCCTGCAGCAGAGCTGAAGAAAAGATGTCCATCCTCCAAGGACAAGCAAGAATATATATTCTACGTATTTGAAACAAAAGGATTGAGCACACAGTATAGGATTTGCAGTAGTGACATTGGGTAAAGCTAGTTTTTACAAAGTTCACACACACAGGTAAGGCAGGACTTTGTGTCAGGAGGCAAAGATGATTATTCTAGTGAGCGTGGAAGAGAGGGGGCTAATTTTTACAACTCAATGGTGACTATTTGGATGTATAAGCAATATATCTAGAATGCCAGAGACTAAATACAGAATTCTGCAGTGTGCAAAGTCAGGTCACTATTAGGAAACCATTTTTTTCCCCCAATTGGCATGTCTGTAACTGGAGATTTTTTACCTTTTTGGTGGAAGGATGACATGAAAGACACACTGACCTCTTTGATAACTTGGATATATTGTACAGGCAGTGTGCTGCAAAAAGAGAGCCTACACTTCTATTTCAGCCACATTGTCTTCAAAGTGACTGACGGCAATGCTGACCAGGTTACAGCTAGCTAGAAGTCATGAGGTTTTTTTTTGTTTTAATTACCTTTCCGATTTTACAGTGGCTGGATATGGTGTTTTTAAGCTTAGGCTGGTAAAAGGATTTCTCTTCATTCAGATGTAATGGGTTTCATGGCTTCTGATACAGGTCTCCAAGAGTGGAAGTGGAGGGGCTCTGGATGAAAGGCTTCATTCAGAGCAGTCTGTATTTAGTCTGGGCACGCTCGCACGATCATGGAGTGCCAGGAAGAAACTGCCTATGTGTTTAGATTGCTTATTAACTCATTCTGTACTGATTATTTAAGCAAATATTAAGCCATATTCATGTATTATGTATTCTCCCCAAATTCATATACTTAGGTATATCTATGGTGATCAGTTATGTGCTGTATCGGAATCTGCATTGTCCTTTTTCCAGTTGGTCAGGACTTTCTCATGATTAAAGTAAAACTCTCTCCCATTTACATGCAAATTGGGAGCGGTTGGGGGAGGTCCTTTTTATGCTGACATCCAGCTGGCTGTTTGTGAGGAGGAGTGGGAAAAATACAATTTGGGGCTACTTTAGTGTGCGGAGCTTCTCAGCCCTTTAGGCATCATGCAGCTGTGGCCCTGGAAATGTATCTTTACAGAAGTAAAGTCCTTATGGCTCTGACCCCAGCTCAGAAACCCAAATACTCCAGCAGTTTAATTGCTCAATTGATTGTGATCAACTGTGCCCATATACATTTACTTACATAGTAGCTTATTCCCATAGCTTTGAACTTTTGGAAACAATGGTCCCTTTTAAAGATGTAATTTCAAAAGACACCAATAATCTGGGATTTAAATCTAAACCTTAAACAAAGCAGAGATATCCTCCTTTCTCTTACTGTCATGTGAGGGAGCCTAAACACTCCTGCCAACCCCCTTATAGCTGTATATCTACAGTGTGGAAATCTTTGTCACTGCTAACTCTGCTAGTGGCAGGAGATTGGCGATATCACTCCTGTGCTGCTCACTGTCTTCCTTTCTGGAGGCTTTGGAATGAAATGAGAACGCAATAAAAGGATAAAAAAAAAAAAAAGCCTCGACCAAGATGGCCACCTCGACATAGTGCTTGGTGATTACAGCAATGCAAATTGGGTAAGCAGGCTACAAGATGCCGATGTCAAGGTTGCTAGCTGGAAGGACTGGAAAATTACAGGGGAAAGGATTGACTGAAAAAAAACAACAAGGCATGCTATATCACTAATGGGTAAAGACTGATCAGCCTAAAAGGATAAATTCACCTTCGGGAACATGTTTAGGGTG